CTGTTTATGAGCCAACTGCATGGCCCATCAGACTGGCGCTTAACTCCAGTTTCTTATAGAGCACTGGACTGTTGTGCGGGGAGGTCGAGGGTTCAAGCCCCGGCCGGACCAACACTCAAGGTCTTAAAATAATTGAGAAGAATATGCTACCTTTCTATAACACCAAGTTATGGTTAGATACTCTAGTCTTCTCGGATAGGGACGAATAAATGGAGGTCCCGTCTCCTACAGGGTTAGGGGTAGGAGACGTTAATTTCCCACGCACGTGTTTACTGTGTAATGGATGTCCTTCCCTGGAGTGGGATGAGTGGGATTTAATGGGTGGACTCCTCTCATGGATCGCATATGTTCCGTTCTAGTCCTACCCTACTGTGGTAATGCAGTGAAAAATGGTGAGACATGAAACAACTAGGAGTATTTCTACTCCCCCCTGGATGGGATGCTAGTCCATTGCAGGGTTACCCCCACAGCATTAAATTCGCCGGTACCCATTTAAACACCTGGGTGAAGCAATATGACAATTCCTTCCGTAAGATCAGTGAAGATGAAAATGTCAAAGTTAAAGTTAATTACCTCGAGTTTACTTTCCCAAACTAGTGCTGTTGTTTTTTCAAAAGTGTTCACGGACTTATTTGTTTCTTTACGCGCTTTCTAATTGACAGGTGTCAGATCGCTACAGAAAATGTTTCAATGTTTGCCTGGAAGCCTTTTAAATCACCCTTATCAGTACGCAGATAAAAATGCGTCAATGAAGCCTCTCTTTTTAATTTGCGTTACCTCTGAATTTACTACCGTACTCGCTCAATTTTTTTTCCGTTAATGAGGGATGTGAGTTAGAGCCCTAAGTGGGTTACAGCCCTAAGTTATTCGATTTCTACATTTCTGATCTTATGATCAATTTCTGTGTAGTCAGTATTCATGGCGTTGTTTGAAACCAAATTAAAGTTTCTCAACTTACGAAACGTCCGGAAGTACGAAACGAAAACATACTAAACAAAAGACGCTTCATTTTTGTTGTTAGAAACAAACAACGCTTTCCTTTGTTGTTTAAAAAAACAACCCTTTTAGAATCTTCATGGTGTTGTCGGAAACAAAGAGTGCGGCCTTAGTGAGAAAGATTTCTCAACCTTATTTCCTATTTAAAGTCTTTAAGTCTGATCTTTTAAGTATTTGTTTCTTTGGGCGACTTGACTTTTTTTCCGAGCGACATGACCAAAAATTACAGGAGACATGACTCAGGTTCCGGGCGACATGATTTGGGCGAGATGACTCTCGGGCGATTTTTTTTTCAGAGCCTGACCTCTGCATTTTCAATTTGAACGTATGAGCTACGTTATCAAACTTTTACTCTGAACTTATCTAACATATCCTTTGAAGAAGAATTTGAAAAAAATGTAAAAAGAAAATAAACAAAATAAATAAACAAAAACAAAAACAAGTGTTGGCGAGGCCGGCGCCCTAACCTCGATGGGAGTTGGTACATTCGTAGTAACAGGTACGCAGAGCGTACGAAGTGGCGAACTTTTGTATTGAAATAAATTTTTTGCACACTTTATACATGTACTTATTCTATTAATTTTCTGCCATGTCTGCGGCCTGTCAACTGACAGTGTACAAACTCTGCTCTAACCAAGTCTTCCTTTTGTTAGAAGTTTGGTATCAACAAGAGCTTTTCA